TAATCTTCCCTCAAGCCAATCACTTTGATCAATTTCTTGTATACACTACTGAAGCTATTTATATAAACACTGGTGTGTGTATGTCAACATACGGTAACATACTATGCAAACTCTTCTGCTTTTTCCAGTTAACAATATATCTTGAGATTGTTCCGTTTCAGAACGGTTTAACATTGGCTAGTGGGAATGTAACATGGTGCAGTTGCTGTGAAAAACAGTATAGCAATTCCTCAACTGGCTTTTTGTTTTCTGACATGAGATCTCATTCTTTCACCCTGGCTGCATTGCAGTGGCACAATGTCGGCTCACTGCAACCTCTGCCTCCAGGGCTCGAGCAATCTTCCCTTCGCAGCCTTCTGAATAGCTGGGATTACAGGTGTGCGCCACCACACTCAGCTAATTTTTAAATTTATTCTAGACATTAGGTCTCACTATAAAATGATCCTCAGCCTCCTAAAGTGCTGGCACTACAGGCATGAACTACCTACCATACCTGGCCTTTCAGACTGTTAAAACATAGACTTACCATAAGATCCAGCAGTTCCATTCTTCAGTACATACTAAGAGAAATGAAACATATGTTCACATAAAAACTTGCACAAAAATGTTCACAGCAGCATTATTCATAATAGACAAAAAGTGAAATTACTCAAATGTCCGCCAGCTGATGACTGGATAAAATGTGGTATAGCTATATAATGGAGTATATTATTACCTGGGAATGTAAAAAAATGAAGTGCTGATACGTGTCACAATATGGACAGACCTTGAAAATATACTAAATGAAAGAAGTCACAAAGAATCATACATTCTGTGATTCCATTGATGTGAAATATCCAGAAAAGGCAAATCCACTGAGACAAAGTAAATTAGTGGTTGTCTAGGACTGGGGGCAGTGGGGAGACTGTATTGGGGGTATGGCGGCTAAGCGTGAGGGCTTTTCTTGGGGAGTAATGAAAGTGTTCTAAAATTGTGATGGATGCACAACTCTGAATATAGTAAAAATCATTGAATTATATACATTTATTTATTTTAAACGGAGTCTCACGCTGTTGCCCAGGCTGGAGTGTAGTTGTATGATCTCGGTTCACTGCAACCTCCGCCTCCTCAGTTCAAACGATTCTCCTGCCTTGGCCTACCGAGTAGCTGGAATTACAGGCATATGCCACCACACCTGGCTAATTTTTGTATTTTTAGTAGAGATGGGGTTTTGCCATGTTGGCCGGGCTGGTTTTGAACTCCTGACCTCAGGTGATCCACCCACTTTGGCCTCCGAAAGTGCTGAGGTTAACAGGTGTGAGCCCCACTGCACCCAGCCCTATTATACACTTTAAATGGGTGAATTGAATGACACATGAATTGTGTTTCAAGCTGTTAAACTATGTTAATGTGTTAACATATTTTTGCTTTCAGTTCTTTCTACAACTTCAACAGGCTGCACTGGAGGTGTTTGCAGAGAATAATACTCTGAGTAAATTGCAGCTGGGACAACTAGCCTCTATGGAGAGCTCTGTCTTTGATGACATGATTAACCTCTTAGAGCGTTTAAAGCATGATATGTTGACCCGTCAAGTAGACCACGTGTTTAGAGATGTTAAAGATGCTGCCAAATTGTATAAAAAGGAAAGGTATGTCCTCTGCCTGAGTCAGCTCAACACCAGTTTGGTAAAAGTTAAAGATGGTACATGTGGTCAGATTTCCAAGGTGTCTAGAAAGAACCTGATTTGGCCTTATGTACTTTAAACTTTATTGCTGGTAAAAATATTTCTAAAATATGTTGTCTTGGACTTTTATTTTTGAGACTGTCCTATTCTGTCACCCAGGCTAGAGTGCAGTTGTGCAGTCTCGGCTTATTGCAACCTCCACCTTCCAGGTTCAAGTAATCTTCCTACCTCAGCCTCCTAAGTAGCTGGGACTACAGGAATTCACCATGAGGCCTGGCAAATTTTTTTTTTTTTTTTTTTTTTTTTTTTGAGACGGAGTTTCGCTCTTGTTACCCAGGCTGGAGTGCAATGGCGCGATCTCTGCTCACCGCAACCTCCGCCTCCTGGGTTCAGGCAATTCTCCTGCCTCAGCCTCCTGAGTAGCTGGGATTACAGGCACGCGCCACCGTGCCCAGCTAATTTTTTGTATTTTTAGTAGAGACGGGGTTTCATCATGTTGACCAGGATGGTCTCGATCTCCTGACCTCATGCAGTCCACCTGCCTTGGCCTCCCAAAGTGCTGATCTTACAGGCATGAGCTACCACACTTGGCTCTCTCAGACATTCCTAATCAGAACTGATTATAAGTTAGCTGTTTGTAAATACATGAGTAGAAGGATGGTGTGTGGTCGGGTTGAATAGCCTAACCCATCTCCCATTTTGCACAGTCAAGTGCACCTGTAGTACTTTTGTTGGACAGTTTATCCCACTACCATTCCTTGTGTACACCTGTGTTACTTCCATCTTGGAAAGCAGGCAGTATCTTTTTGTCCTACCATAGTCCCTACCACATAGAGTGCTTATAATCTGTTATTAGTCGTGTTTTTACTGAAAACGAGAGCATAATATTAGCTGATGTTTTAATTAAAATGCTAAAGTCAGGCTGGGCGAGGTGGCTCATGGCTGTAATCCTAGCACTTTGGGAGGCTGAGGTGGGTAGATCACTTGAGGCTACGAATTTGAAACTAGCCTGGCTAACATGGTGAAACCCCATCTCTACTAAAAATACAAACATTAGCTAGGTGTGGTATGGGCACCTCTAATCCCAGCTACTTGGGAGGCTGAGACAGGAGAATCACTTGAATCCCAGGGGGCAGAGGTTGCAGTCAGCCAAGATTGAGCCACTGAGCCTGGGCAACAGAGCGAGACTGTCTCAAAAAAAAAAAAAAAAAGCTAAAATTGACATTTAAAATTTTAATTTCTTTATATCAATATTTCACATTAAAATTTGGGGATATTTTGGAAATATCCTCATATTAAAGAGTAATTGAGAGAGAAAATATAAATACAGGTACTTTATTTTCTGAGAGAGGTTTTAATGTTGGGCTGTGTATTTTTCTTATCCAAAATGCCCCAGCACAGAACGCTTCCTCAAATTTAAAATGATTTAAAAACTTTAAAAATACAAACTGATGAAAATTCTGTGGTAAAAATGAATGTTTTTTCCAGGTGGCTGTCCTTGCCGTCTCAGTCAGAGCAGGCAGTCATGTCCCTGTCCAGCTCAGCCTGCCCGTTACTGCTGACGCTACGAGACCATTTACTGCAGCTGGAGCAGCAGCTCTGTTTCTCCTTATTTAAAATGTTCTGGCAAATGCTTGTCGAGAAGCTGGATGTATACATCTACCAAGAAGTAAGTAAGAATAGACTATTTTTGGACTGTGATAATAAAGACAACTGTTACATGAATTCTTTGTTTCAGATAATTCTTGCTAATCACTTCAATGAAGGAGGAGCAGCTCAGTTGCAGTTTGATATGACTCGGAATCTTTTCCCTTTGTTTTCTCACTATTGCAAGAGACCAGAAAATTATTTTAAACAGTAAGTTCAACATTTAACAATTAATATTCATGTATCAAATTGTTATAGGAGGCTAACTCCTTTTAACTTTAGGGTTCTGGAGATGTTGGGGTAGGATAAGATTAGTGTAAGTTTTAAAACATTGTCTACTGTATGCTTACAGCACAGTGGGGAAACCAAAATGACCATGTGGCCCATGACCTCAAAAAGTTGACCAGAACTAGATATATGTTGGGTTTTGTTTTCTAGTTTTTGGTTTAATGTTTCTATTTGCTTAGCTACTGGAGGAATAAATAGAAAATAAAAGCAAATACAGTTGTGCCCTGTTCACAAAATATGTTTAATACCTAATAATAGGCTAGGACTGAAAGAAATTTGTTTCCTTAAACATTTGACATTAATTTTGGCTCTAAATATAATGATAAATATAAGAATTACAAATGTTTTCAGAATTAGTTGATTTGAAGTTTAAATTATAGTCCAAGCATAGTAGCCCACAACTCTAAATCTCAGTACTTCGGGAGGCAGAGGTGGCCTGATTGCATGAGGCCAGGTGTTTGAGAGCAGCCTGGGCAACATAGCAAGACTCCATCTCTACAAAAAGTATTTAAAAAAAAAAAAAGCCAGGTGTGGTGGTGTGCACCTGTAGTCCTAGCTACTTGGGAGGCTGAGGCCGCAGCAAGCTATGATCATGCAATTGCACTCCAGTCTAAGTGACAGAGCAAGACCATGTCTCAGAAAAAAGTGAAATTTAAATTGTTTGGTTTCTGTCAGGTTATAAAGCATTCATTTTAAACTTATGAAAGCTTATGTTTAGATGTTTCAGTATAATAGAAATTTTTTTTTTTTTTTTTTTTTTTGAGATGGAGTCTCTGTCACCAGGCTGGAGTGCAGTGGTACAATCTCGGCTTACTGCAACCTCTGCCTTCACAGTATCTGGGACTACAGGTGCACGCCACCATGCCTGGCTATTTTTTGTATTTTTAGTAGAGACAAGGTTTCACCCTGTTGGCCAGGCTAGTCCCAAACTCCCGACCTCAGGTGATCTGCCCACCTCAGCCTCCCAAAGTGCTGGGATTACAAGTGTGAACCACTGCACCCGGGCAACTATTTGTTTTTAAAATTCATTTTCATGTTCTTTCTGCTTTTATTTTATCCCTTATTTTTGTCGTTTCCCATATTCTAATCTACTTAAAGTTATACCTATATTTAATAGAGTGTTCATATGCAGTATTTAGGGGCATGGATACATATTGAAATAGGGATCCTATTACCTTATAGTGAAGAAATATAAACTCTGCACCTGTGTAGTCTTACCATATTAACTTACCACATTAAAAGAACCAATAAATCCCTATTTTCGTAGTGAACATGCGGACCAGCAGTGCAGAGAAACTGTTTAGATTCTCAAATTGTTGTAATATGGATGATGCAGATAATGTAGATCTCACTTCCCTCCTTTGTTTTCCCTAAACAGTATAAAAGAAGCCTGTATTGTTCTGAATTTGAACGTCGGTTCTGCACTACTCCTGAAAGAAGTACTGCAGTCAGCTTCAGGGCAACTTCCTGCCACAGCAGCATTAAATGAAGTTGGAATATATAAACTGGCTCAACAAGATGTTGAGATTCTACTTAATTTGAGGACCAATTGGCCTAATACTGGAAAATAATGTTTTTCAGAGAAAGGTTTTTTTTGCTTTTTAAGAAGCAGCCAGTTTGATTTCAAGTTATATGATGAATGATGAAATTCTGAATTAATGAAACTGGAAAACTTTATGGAATCATTTATCATCTTGGACTTATAGTGTTACTAGAATGCCGACCATATTTCCATAATCCTCTTGTTCCTAAGGAAACAAAAACAGAAAACGAAAAAAACAATGAAATTCTATTTACAAATATAAATGCCAAGTATGTCTGTTGAATGAAAGAGCAGACGTATTATAACCAACAACTTTCAATTTCCTGTGATAATTAAGGGAAATTCTACTGTGGATAATCAAACATAGTAAATTTTTTTAACTCACTTTAGAATTCATATTTATAATTGAGGCTTCTATATCTAGTTTGGGAATTCACTGTATTTCCATAAGAAAACTGGCAAGATACTGTGGCTCATAGCTGTAATCCCAGCATATTGGGAGGCTTAGGTAGGAGGACTGCTCGAGTCAAGAGTGCGAAACCAGCCTGGCAACATGTCAAGACCCTGATGCATGCCTGTAGTTCTGGCTACTTGGGAGGCTGAGGTGGGAGGTTAGCTTAAGCCCAGGAAGTCAAGGCTACAGGGAGCTGTGATTTTGACACTGCACTCCAGCCTGAGTAAGTGAACAAGACCCTGTCTCTAAAAAAAAAAAAAAAAAAAAAAAAAAATTGTGAGATGATGAATGAGGATAGTTGTGGGAAATGAAAAATACTCCCATTTTAGGCCAGGCGTGGTGGCTCAAGCCTGTAATCCCAGCGCTTTGGGAGGCCAAGGTGGGCGGATCATGAGGTCAAGACATCGAGACCATCCTGGCCAACATGGTGAAACCCCGTCTCTACTAAAAATACAAAAAAAAAAAAATTAGCTGGGTGTGGTGGTGTGCACCTGTAGTCCCAGCTACCTGGGAGGCTGAGGCAGGAGAATTGCTTGAACCCGGGAGGCGGAGGCTGCAGTGTGCTGAGATCGCACCACTGTACTCCAGCCTGGCGACAGAGTAAGACCCTGTCTCAAAAACAAAAACAAAACCAAAAATTTTTATTATTTATGTAACTGATGAGACAAAAATCTCAAAAGTTTTTTCTTGTAACTCTTTCTTGACCTTGGGTGCTGTATTCAATAATAGTTTCTTGATTAATCTCAGAGTAAAAATCCTTAAAAAATTGAGCTAGATTCCCTGGAAACTTTCTATAACTATTAAATTTTATTCCATTCATTCATTTTTCTCTGACTTTACTTAGCACTGGGTTAGTATTTTTAATCCTATAATATCTCAAATCTAAAATTATCAGACTAGCGTGCAGCCTATGCTATTGACAAACATTTACTTTGCAATAAATAATTTTGAGGAAATATTTTGAGATATTCTATTAGTATATATTTTAAATAGAGTTTCCAGCTAGTGTGTTGAGATCAAAGCATTTGTTAGTTGTCCTAGCATATTAATGCTTCTTCACCTCATCCTTTGAGAATTGCTGGGGCTTCCTACTAAGAAAAGAATGCAGCAGGCTGGGCTCGGAAGGTCATGCCTGTAATCCCAGCACTTTGGGACTCCAACGCAGGTGGATCACCTGAGGTCAGGAGTTCGAGACCAGCTTAGCCAACATGGTGAAACCCTGTCTCTACTAAAAATGCAAAAACTAGCTGGGCATGGTGGTGCACATCTGTAATCGCAGCTACTTGTGAAGCTAAAGTAGAAGAATCACTTGAACCCAGGAGGCAGAGGTTGCAGTGAGCCAAGGTCATACTACTGCACTCCAGCCTGGGCAACAGAGCAAGACTACATCTCAAAACAAAAAAAAGAATGGAGCTGTCTCTGGAACTTACTATTTCAGAGCTTAGAGACTTTACTGTTAGCCTTCCCTCTCCTCACTTTTCAGTCAGCTGAAAATTTCAAGGGAAAAAAATATTTCTTTCAAAAGATAGGAACTTATTTTAAAAGGTATTGTATTTCAAAATCATGCTATCTTATTAAAATAGTTGTCATTTAACAATAAACATACACTTCATCCTTGAATTGCTCCAAAGTGATTCTGTGTCCATCATCTTCTAAATCTTCATCTTCAGTGCACAGACCAAGGGTTTTTAGGGCTGTAAAATAATGAGAAGAAATGAAAATTTACAAAGTGAGAATGATTTTCTGCTAGAAAAAATTATGGAATGGCCACAAACTATTACCTCAATTTGTAGAAAGTACCGACCTTCTTTATACTGCACAAATGATATGGTGCCTCTGTTGGAGGAGTCCATCATCTCAAACATAGATACAACATTAGAGTTATCCATAAAGAACGGGAATGCTACGCCTGTTACTTTTGCAATTCTCAGACGTTCCAATAGAGATATTAAATATTCTCTTGGTTTTTCTGCAAAAGAATAGTTCCAGCTCTTTCTGATATGAAATTAAAATATGTTGCAAATAGAAGTAGTCATTTAACAATTATTAAACAGCTGTAGCGGGGCACTGTACTAGGCACTGGGGATACAGGCCTTTTCATAAAACAGTTCAGCAAGAAGATAAGACATCAAACACTTAAATAATTACAAATATAAATGCCCTATCTCTGATGATTGAATAGAAAACTACAGAAATTGGACCTGGGCATTTTTTAGAAAAACTCCCCAAGTGACTATAAATTGTAGATGGGGTTGAAAACCAGAAAGATAGAGGGAACAGCATAATGCAGGAAAGAAGTTGGCCACCTAAAGAGCAGAGAAAATATAAGTAGGCCAGGCGTGGTGGCTCACACCTATAATCCCAGCACTTAGGGAAGCTGAGGCGGCGGATCACCAGAGGTTGGGAGTTTGAGACCAGCCTGACCAACATGGAGAAACCCCATCTCTACTAAAATTACAAAATTAACTGGGCGTGGTGGCACATGCTTGTAATCCCAGCTACTTGGGAGGCTGAGGCGGGAGAATTGCTTGAACCCAAGTGGTGGAGGTTGCCCTGAGCAGAAATCGTGCCATTGCACTGCAGCCTGGGCAACAGAGTGGGACTCCATCTCAAAAAAAGATACATATGCATACATACATACAATGTATGTATTTTTTTTTGAGAGAGAGAGATATACATACAGAGACTTGGAATAAATATGGTCTTCTAGGAAGCATATGTATTCATTTCTGACATAAAAGTATTTTGGATAAATAATATACTGTAGTTTAAGCAATTTTAAAAATGAAAAATCAAGATCAACCTACTTTTCAGAAATAATTCAGGACAATCATGATGAAAAGCAGCCAAAAGGAATAGAGATAGAGCAGTTTGGATGCTACATACCTCTTGCTGCTTGATCATTTTATCATTTCAATCTTAAGCTTCATGCATATATTTTTAAAGTTAAACAGCGACAGGATCTGGCTGTGTTGCCCAGACCCGGCTCAAGCAATCCTCCCACCTCAGCCTCCCAAAATTGCTGATATTATATGCATGAACCACCATGCTTGGACAACTCACATGTTCTTTAAAAATTTGAGTTACATCATTACTGATAATAAAAGTAGACAGAAAAGTATAATGAACCCATCACCAACTTCAGCTGTTAAAATTTGTGGCCAATCTTATTTCACTCTAACCCTATCCACATCAATTTATGAGGAACAAAATTAATCTTGTTTGTGCTTAATTGAGGATTGACAACAGGACAAACAACAGCCCAAACCATAGACATCTCGGTTCATTTTACACAATTCTGACTGAAACGGTCAAGCAAACTTTCCATTCAATCAGTGCCAAAACCATTGTACCAGATAAGCTGCAGACAAAAGCACAGCTTTCAATGGAAATTTTAAAACAAGTAGCATCAAGATCCTGAGGCATTTCTTCAAAGAATTGAAATGAGATGAAAGAAAGTTCTACAGTATGATCCTGAAGAGAAACTCTATCAAAGGAGTGGGTACCAAGAGGTGACGTGGTCCAGTCCAAGCACAAGTCAAGAGCAACTGTCATGGCAATAGTTTTTTGGGATGGTCAAGGTATTTTGCTTGTTGATTTTTTTTACAGTCCCAAACAATAACATCTGCTTATTATGAGAATGTTTTGAGAAAGTTAGACAAAGCTTTAAAGAAAAGCCCAGGAAAATTTTACCAAAATGTCATCTACTGCAACAATGCTCCTGCTCCTTCCTCTCATGGAACAAGGCAATCTTACAAGAGTTTCAATGGGTATCATTAGCACCCACCTTACAGTCCTCATTTGTCTCCTTTTGACTTGTTTTCTGATCTTAAAAAGTCTTTAAAGGGCACCCATTTTTCTTTAATGATGTAAAAAAGACTGCATTGACATGGGTAAATTCCCAGGATCCTCAGTTCTTTAGGGATGGACTTAATGGCTGGTAACATTGTTTACAAAATCATCTCAAATTTGATAGCGCTTATGTTGAGAAATAATTTTTAATCTTTTTTTTTTCCAGTCTCTGTAGAGACTGTCAAAAATTGCCAATGCTGACTATACTGCAGGTCATCACAGTGGGGTATTGGGGAAAAGTTTTCAATTACCAATAATCGTGCCTCAGATAAACCTCATAAGCTATGATACTGCCACTATGCAAAGCTAATTTTTAATCTTTTAATTCCATTTCTCTATGAACTTTTTGAAGTCCCCTTTTACTTACTTTTTTCATGAGAAGACATATAATGTACTCTGTTAGCAATTTTCAAGTATAACTGTATTATTAGCTGTAGTCACCATGATATACAGTACATCTCTTGAACTTACTCCTCTTCTGAAATATGTCCTTTGGCCAACATCTCCCCAATAACCCCGCCTTCCAGCTCTTGATGACCATTCTTTTATTCTTTTTATGAATCTGACTTTTGCGGATTCTACATACAATTAAAATCATGAGGTATTCTTCTGTGCCTGATTTATTTAATGTTTTCTAGGTTCATCCATGTAGTTGCAAATGATAAGATGTCCATTTTTTTTTAAGTTGAATGGTATTTCATTGTCTATATATGTCACATTTTCTTCATCCATGGACACTTAAGCCATTCAATATATTGTCTATTGTGAATAATGTTACGATAAACACAATCTTCAACATACTGATTTCACTTCCTGTGAATGTATGCCCAGTGGTGGGACCACCAGGAAAGTTCTATGTTTAATTTTCTGAGGAACCACCATGTTGTTTTCCATAATGGTTGTACTAATTCACAATCCCACCAGTAGTGTACAAGGGTTCCTTTTTCTCCATATCTTTGCCAACACTTGGTATCTTTCATCTTTTGTTAGTGTTTTAGAGATGGGGTCTCATTATGTTGCTCAGGCTGGTCTTGAACTGCTGGACCCAAGTGATCATCCTGCCTCAAGCTTCCTGAGTAGCTGGGACCGCAGGCATATGCCATAGTGCTTAGCTATCTTTCTTGATAATAACCTTTCTAACAGGTGTGAGGTGATAGCTCATTGGGGTTTTAATTTCCATTCCCCTGATGATTAGTGATATTGAGCACTTTTTCATATACCTGTTGGTAACTTCTTTATCTTCTATAGAAAAATGTCTATTTAGGTCCTTTGCCTATTGAACAAAAATTGGTTATTTTCTTGAGTTCTTACAAGTTTTGGATATTAATCCCTGATCAGATACATAGTTTGCAAATATATTCTCCCATTCCATAGGTTTTCTCTTCACTCAGGTTATGTTTTAAATCTTTTAATTTATAGGGTTTCACTCCATCTTCATCCTTGGGAATTTATGTGTTGAAACCAGAAGTAGACTTTTAAATCTAGTATTGTACCTTACTTGTATAAGCAGGTTCCAGCAATAAATAGGCCACTAAAGGCAGTCACATTTTGTTTGAAGTCTGTTTCTTCTTCCTGCACCATGTATCAAACTCAGAAACTGGAAATAGGCCAAGTTTAAATTTCAACTCACTATCTTTTTAAGGCTTGAATAAGTAAATCATGCTAATGGAACTTGGTGTTAACACTTTGATGAAAACCCAAACCAGTTTTATTGTTGTGTATCCTTTTAGGCTGCATGAGATGTTATAATGTTTATGCTTGTATACTACAATTTATACTGTACTCTGCTTTTGAAAATGTTTTGAGCCGGGCACAGTGGCTCATGCCTATAATCCCAGCATGTTGGAAGGTCAAGGTGGGTAGATCACATCAGGAGTTCAAGACCAGCTTGGCCTATATGGTGAAACCCCATCTCTACTAAAAACGACAGCCAGATGTGGTGGCAGGTGCCTGTAGTCCCAGCTACTTGGGAGGCTGATGCAGGAGAATCGCTGGAACCAGGGAGGCGGAGGTTGCAGTGAGGTGAGATCGCACCATTGCACTCCAGCCTGGACGACAGAGTAAGACTCTGTCTCCAAAAAACACAAAAAAACAAAAAAAAAAACCAATGTTTTGAAAATGCTCACAGCATAAATATTTAAAGACAGAACCTTTTTAAAACATGAAGGGAAGAGTCAAATGTTACTAACCAACTATGTTACGTAAATGTAACTGGTACTATATGCCTGGTACTATGTGAAGCATTTTCTATGAATAACTTCATTTACCCCTCACAACAGTCACTTGCTCAAGGCCACACAGCCAGTATGAATCCAGGCAATGTGCTTCTAAAGCTTGCAGACTTTACCACACTCTACTAACTAAAATATGGGAAGCATCTTCAATGGTCAAATCTAGTCAGTCACGATGGTCTCTACTGAGTTTTTTCTCAATAGCTTTCAAATTCATTTCACTCTACCAGTCCCACAGCAATCTCTCTCGTTTGGGTTACTATTAATATAATTGTGTTATTTATAATTTTATTAAAGCCATCCCCTAAAACTTCATATTCCCTCCTTATATTGCATAGAATTATCACTGGGAGAGGCTGACCAGCCAGCAACTATATATATGGTATATATATATGTGTACATATGTGTGTTTATATATACACACTGTGTATATACATTCTTATATATACACTGTATATATACACAGTATATATGTTTACATATGTTTATATATACATTTATATATGTACTATATACTATGGAGTAATACTGTATATATATTTACATATACTGCGTATATATATGGGGTATATATAAACATATATACATAAACATGGTGTACATATACACCATATATATACACAGTATATATATGTGTGTGTGTGTGTGTATATATATATATACATATACATATATATATACACATATATATGTATATATGTATGTATATATATGTATATATATACACATACATATACACAGTACATA